TGGATTTTTATCAGAATGTGGAAGGTTTAAGGGCATGAGCCTGGAGTTTACTCAACTCTTGTTTATCATGAAGCCCTTTACTGGCATTATCAAAGTCCTTCTGTCAGAACAGTTACAGAAGATAGAGCCTTATCCAAGAAGCCAATGCATTTGCTATTTGGCATTTCCTTACTTTTAGGTACATAATCAAGCAGACATAATGACCTATGGCTCCTTTTGTAATGATATTTTTAAGTTGTTCATCAAAAAAACTAAAACACCAGAGCCACAACAAACCAGCAGCCCTAAACTCACACTTTTCTGTATGCATTAGGATCACGTACTCTACAAAGAGCAAACCCTCCTATAGCTTTTGTGTCCTCATTTTCAAGAAGGCTCGTCTACCATGGCAAAAAATAAATTGGGACTAGAGTACTAGTTGTCACAAAGCAAACAGAAAATACTTCAAACTGTCAAAATAAATTTAAAGCATTTCAAATGTTTTAACAAAAAAACAGCAGTGATGTTAGATTTAGTCTATAAGTTTTTCACTGTGGAATATACTGTCATTTTGCCAACTTCTTGCTTGCAATATGGTCAAAATTATTTCTAGCTGAAACTGTTAATACAGGTCTGAATCACACATTATTTTCTCCAGTGATGCATATATATCTTACTCTTTAATTAATTCATAGCTTTATTCCATGCTACTAAAGTACGATTCACAGTTCAAGTCAGCCAAAAAAACCCAAAAAACTTCTTGCTACAGATACACCTGAATTTTGAGGCTGATCAGGCTCCTCCAGGAGACCCCTCTGCCCCTGTATGAGATTGGTCTGTAAGGCCAGAGAGGTTGTTTTTTGAAGAAAATATTGATTATTTTATTTATAGCCATGGATGAGGTGGGGAGTGGGTGGATACAGGAGAAATGAAAGACAGTGAAAATATACAGGTAAGCTGTGTATAATCTAAGGTGTTTGTACATCTCTTTGACCAGATTGTGGTCTGGCTGGATCTTTGAGACTGGGTCTTGTCTAATGCATTGGCAGAGCCCCACAGGAGGCTGTGATCCTCATCTTAGGTCTAAAATCCCTGTGTCAGTTTGTCTGGTTTAGAAAATAAGAGCATCGTTTCTCTCTTGTGTGTGCAGAACTCTTTTAAGGAACAAGCAAAATCCAGGCTTTGCATCCATGACATGACCAGGAGCAGCACAATGGTGTTGTTGTGTGGGTTCAAATTCATTTGCAGTGGATTTGATCTCCTCTGAGACCACCGTGATGTCATTGCACTTACGTTCCTGCGTCAATTCCTGGGACTTGTTCCTCCTTCTTGGGAGAAGCTGCTTGCTTGTGGGGATTTCTACTATCACAGGTGGAACAAAGAAAGATGGGTAATACTGGAAAGCCCATGAGGTTGAAGTTGATGGTTAAGAGCTTCCTACACAGCCACCCACCCATGCTTGGTGCTGGGAGTGTTCCTGCCCAACCGACCTGTTGTACACAGCAGCTTCAGTCATCACAGACTAGAGGGAAAACAAGCACTTGCCCTGACCCAGTCATTTCATGGAACTCAGGCAGCCTATCCCAGTCATCAGCTGAGGCCTCTCAGCTGGGACGCCTGCACAGGCCTGCAGTCATCCATGGGAAGCAGCTGGACACCAGAACGCTGGTCCAAGCAAAGCCCTGGCTTAAGCTTAGGCCAGACATGCTTTATGAGTGTCCCTATCACATAGCCCGATGGGATTGAAGTACATTTTTTTTAACCTAGGTCTTCTAAACATGCCATAATGTGATTATCACATATAGTGAAAAATGAGGTGATAGGTCTCGAGTGATAAAGATTACCAGGATTCAACAGATTTCAGAAGATCAGTGAAATAAAGTTGTGAGCCCTTATAGAAATGGTTACGAAAAAATACAGATGGACAAAATGTATTGAAGAGGAAATCCAGAAATTTGTCAGAAAAAAAAAAAACTTACATAGTGCAATCTGAGAAGCATTTCTAGAACTACTGTAACAGATATGCATCTTAAACCAGAGACATTCTGAGTCATTGTCTAAATAATGTCATGTATCTAAATAATTTATCTCTTCAGCTGCATTGCACTATAAGGGCATTTAAATAAAAATGGAACATTTTCTTCTCTAAAATCAACAAGGAATCATCAAAAGAGTGAAACTGTTTCTCAGTTGGACATTGTTGCTGAAATGAATAAGTGCTCTTTCTTATGTGCAAAAACAGTAAACAAGTTTGTCTCATTTGAATGTGTATTTATTATGTTATCATCGAGGGGATGCTGATGTTGTATGTTTGTATCTACTAAATTTGCATTACACTTTGTCTCATGCTTGCATTTCACATTAGCAAATTCTGCCACTCCCATAGTTCAGAATGTATTTCCAGAGGGGAGAGATCAATGCAGCCTCAGACAAGGCCAGAAGGCATGCTCCAGGGGTACCCTTCCAGGTGCCTCAGCAGATCCTCTGGCATGGTTATTGAGCTACCCTATGGAGGGATCATATGTAGCTCTTTGGGACGGAGCTTTTTCCTTGTGGCCCAATTGGCTGAGACCCACAGTAAGTGCCCCTGATAGAAGAATTGGGTTGTTGCTTTAACTTGCTTACACGGGGTCACTGCTCTCTGGTATTACAGTGTGAGGTGACCCTATCATAGAATCATAGAATCGTAGAATGGCCTGGGTTGAAAAAGACTTCAAAGACTATCTAGTTTCAACCCCCATGCAATGGGCAAGGTCACCAACTACTAGAATGCTCACCAACCACTATGTTGTCTGCTGACTCGCACCAAGAAATGTGGCTCTGCTTGCCCTTCTGCTGAGGTGGTTGCTCCTCTTTCCCACATCCTATGGACTCCCTGCCATTGCTGTGAGCCATGGCTTGAGCTGATTGTATCTGTATGGCTTTTCAGAGCAGGGCCTCACGATGAGCCAGCTCCACCACTGCTGGAATGCCCTTCCCAGAAGAGGTAGGATGTTGTGATCTCTCAGACTAGAATAAGGGCATTGCATATTAATGATGTATTGTCATACAGTTTGTGCTTGAGTCCAGACCTCACACGGCTAGACCAAGGAAACCTGAAATATTACTCTAGTGCTACTAATAGGTTATTATTTTAATAGTGGTGAAGTTACCTGAAATACCTGAGAGATCCTACTAGTTGGCAGCTCACCCAATGGCAGCTCTCCTGCCCTGCTAATATTTGGACCGCACAAAAAACTTGCTGAAAAGTGATTAATGCCATCGTTGTAGCATCCATTCTAGACCAGAAGTGGAATTTAAAGAGGAGTCAAAAGTTGGCATAAAGGCAGTTATGAGACCTGGAGGGCAAAAGCATTTCTTACTCTCCATAATGCTTCTTCTTAACCATTTCAGTGCATTCCTAAAGTCAATGAAAACAACAATTTAAATCCCCTGTATTCAAATGAGGATTAAAAAAAGACTAGTGGGCTGAAATTAATGGTGACTCACAAATGAATCAGCTATTGAACACTCATTCAAAACCTGTTTTCAATAAGAAAAAAATAGTATGAATAATTGGAAATTAAGGAGATTTTGCAAGTAAATTCTTGGAGCTATTTAGTGAGTGGAAGTAAGGAATTCCAGAAAGTGTAAAAGAGAGAGTGCACTAAGAAAATCAGTTAGTGCTGTTACTGACCACTGGCATGTACATTTGAAAAAAGGTAAGATATCAGACAAATGTAATAAAGAATTTGACTTTCACTTTTTGAATGTCTTGAGAGATCCAACTGCGTATGAGACATTTGTCCTTCGAGTGAGTAGAACACATCAGTTGTCCACTGCTTGTGACCCCAATCCAACTGGTCACTCACTGCATGCATGCATTGTCCTGTATAGCATCCTTTGTGTTTTCACAGTACTCAAGGATATTTACACTGATACATTAAATGCTTCTCAAGCAACAAGGGCTCTCAGAACACAAAATATATAGAGCACAGAAAGTACAGAGTTTTATCATAAGGAGAAATGAAGTGTCTGATTTGCTTTGATTCGGTCCAGGACCTACTTCTGCTTTTTATTTTATTTTATTTTTTTTCTGGTGATGGAGGAAAGAACACCAAGGCTAGCACTAAAACAGTGTTACTGTCCCTGGCTCTCATTCACTTGCAGGTGCTAAGCCGATGTAACACCTAAAGGCAGAGGGGAATAGCAATTTATCTCTTGCTGGAACTATTTTTTCCCCTGGAAAGGGAAAGAAAACCCCTACAATAAACAGGTCGTTATCATCTTGTGCAAGCCTTTATTTATGCATCCAAAGAAGTGAGTCAATTGACACCCTCTTCACTCTACCAGCCTGCAGTAACAGCTTTCTAAATCCCTACAGGTCCTAACCCTTTATTCTGGCATTGTTGATTACTCATTCATAATTCTCATAATCTGCCATCTGAAATTAGCTCTTGTTCCCCATTTATTCTGTATGAATTTTCACATATAATATGTTTTCAAAGGTTTCAGATTTGGGGTTAAAAGTGTCTCACCCAAAACTTTGGCCATAGTCGCCATAGGAAAATATGTATGCACCAAGACACGTGAATAAAATATTATCCGGACAAAGCACCTGAAAGAAACGCAAAACTAAGCAGTTGCATTAATTTACCTTGCCAAAACTCACTTCCAATTTCAACAGCTGGATAAGGTGGTTTGCTCATCTGGGTCCCACAAGTCATTCTTGTGACTTGGTGTGAGTCATTCTTGTGACCTGGATGCATTAAACATCTGCAAATGCAATTTGACCAAATGAAGAGTTACATCAGTTCTGCTAGACAGCGAATCATCGCCTCCATGAAGTATCACTGAAATTTATAAACAAAAGTCCCTTTCTTTTCCCTTTAGCTGCTACATGACAGACAACATAGAACAGCTCAGCATTTCACTCAATATGCCTTTTTTAGCTAACATGTATATTAACCATCACCCACTGAACATTAAGAGTCTGTTTTAAAGTATCATCCAGAGAACTGAATTACTGCTGTGACACGGTACACAAGCATGCATCTTTTTATTTGAAGTAGTAACAATTGCCGAGCTCTGAGGGATGCAAATATAATGAACTCAAACCAAGAGACATACAAAAGTGATTTTGAAAAGAGGAGCTAAAGTCTTGGTCTGAAAAAAGTTTTAAGGTGCATGAGAATACAGCTGAATGTTTTGCCTACCTGTTGATGAACGTCTCCCAAAACGATAAAGCCTGAACATGGCAGATACACCCTGTGCAGTAGTCAGAGGTGTTCTGTTATTGTTTGAGTGTCCTCTGCTGGACATATTGCTGCATAGCAATAAAGCCACGAACACGTGTTGAGTTTTGCTTAGAAAACAACAGAACTACAAAAATTCAAAATAGTTCCTATGTTTCATACTCAACTAAAAAACAAAACAAAAAAGAAAAGCTCTTAATAAAATGCCACAACTTCTGAGATTTAAAAAAATAATTATTTACTCTATGGCATAATTTTTTTTCTGCTGAACTAAGAGAAAAATGCTTAATGGAAAAATACTGCTGTTGTCAGTTTTGCAGTGGCAAAGGGTTGCAATGACTCAGATAAGGAAGAATTTTGCTCAAGGGTCTTGTTTTTCTTTTGAATTCCAATTGAACTTGATGAAATCAGAATGCTGTTGTAGACTGCTGCTTGCCATTCCAGCACCACTCCGCGCATCTGTACGTGGAATCAATCCCACGTTTGGTGGGACTCTAGTGCTGTTCTGTCAGCACTCATCTTTGACCCCATTCAAAAACTGTTGACTAACTCTGCTGAGAACACCACAGGAGACTTTTCATTACCTTTTGAGAACTTGGTTTGGTTCAAGTAATTTATTTGGTCTGTTACTTGTAGCCAAGTACACGTGAGGTCATACCTCACTGTAAGATTTCCTTTTTGTTGACCGTAGGTTTACTATTCCTTTGCCTTTCTGAACTTTCTAAGGTATTAGTTAGTTATTCACGACATAATTAAAGTTGTTTTTAAAAGAAGCTGTCCTGATTTATGTTACGCTGTTCCAGATGGCATTCTAAGTATGCGATTCCTTTTCTGCCTCAGAAGAACTTGCCAAATGTTCACTGTTTTTGCAGTTATCTTCTTTATTCATAGGAACATCTTCTCTTCCTCCATTTTCTGCAAGCTTGGCATTCTTATTTTGAAAGTTTCTCTTTATCAATATAAAGAAAAGGATCGCAAACAAGTAGGAAGAAGCTCTCAACACCGCTGACAAACCAAGGTACAAATATCTGTCAGATAGAGAATAAAAGTCAGTGTCTTTTCTTCAAGTCAAAGAAAATCACTTTTAAAGACTTTCAAGGCTCACAGAGGTATAAAAATCAGATAGAAGCTCAGGAGAAGGCAATTCTAAAACTCACTCTTTGTGAATGGTATCACAGGGTAGATATTTTGACAACTATAATCGTCTGTGAAAGAATTTAAAGATTTTTATTTGCTTATGAACATTGTTACAGAGGTAATTTGTTTACCTTCCCTTTCACTGGTAAATCATGCAACCCTTGGTTTTTTTAATTTGACTCAAAGGATATTAGAACAGATATTCCATTCTAAAAAGTTCCTGTCATTTACATTGAAGGGTTTTTGCACAATGTAAAAACTGAGTGAAGAGCCAAGAATTTGATTTTTTATCTTAAAATTTCTCAATTTCAGGAATTCTGGGATGACCAAAATCTGAGTTGAGACCATTATGTTTGATCAGTGGCCTCACATATTACAATATGACAAATCAAGGAGGGTCTGTATAGACAAAATGCTTGGGACTTCTGGTGCTATACTTTGCCTTACCTGAATGCATTGGAGTCATATAGCCTGCAAGCCCCTCGCTGCCCACATCTCGTGCTTGCCCATTTCAAGCATGTTTTGTCAATCAGTGCCCCAAAATAAACTGGTGCAGGGATCCCAGCTGCAAGGGAATAAGCAAAAATGTCTCAAGATACCACAGGAAAAGACATTTTTTAAAGTTAGCATTATATTTTCTTAGAAGCAAATCATTTGCTGCAATAGCAGCAGTATGTGAGTTGGACTTTGAGGACCTTCCCTATATCAGAATAACTGTAAGCTGGGACACCCTCTTTGTGCCATAGGGTTTGTCAGCCTAGGGAATGTGGTCTGATGGTGGAGATTTGGCTGGGCTTCTAGCATGCATGCTGCTTCTTCCATCATAATGGTTTCTTGAGCATGGCATCCACTGCATACTAAGATGATGCAGAAGAGAGCTGGACTGCAGCACTGAACAGATGCAGAGGTCACATTTCCACATACAGCTTAAATTAACTGTGCTGGCTTTTCATCTCTGTCAGATAGCAGCTGATAGTGCCTTCCATCTGAAGGGGCAGCACCAGGTATACATGACTAGAGGTACTGAATATGCTTTTCAAAAATGTTTATGAGTGTAGAACAACCAAAATCCTGGCATGACTTGGACAGATAAGAGCTTATGCTTTATTGGAAAAGATGGTAGACACAAGACAGAATCTTACCCTTTCTGAATCAAAGGTGGGTGTTCAGATGAATGCAGGTTTCAGTGTAGATAGTACCATGTTTCACATTACTTTTGCTTCTACGTGGGTTTCTTGCATTCTTACATAGGAAATTATTTTGTAGGAACAGGTATGTTCTCAGCCTGTTGTACCCTAGGTTTCTTGTGACAGTGTGAACTCAGTAAGTTGCCTATAAAGGCCTGTAAATTATGATCATTAAGCTCTGGCCAAGATATGATGGAAGAAATGCTGTTTGGGGGATGTTCCTTAGAGAATGAAGAGGGGAGTATGCCAGATTTGATCTCCAAGTCACTGAAGAGAAATGTTGGCTTTCATGAATCAGTGACTACAGCTCTTCACCTTCATACAGTAGAAGGAGCACACTCTCTCAAACGGGTGAAAAAAAAAAAAAAGCTTTATAGAAAGGGGGAGGTTCTTTTCTTGTGATGTTTTTCTTTCCTCATGGCCAGAAAAGCTTCCAGAATCCCATTGGCTTTGCTAGTCCTGAGTAATGGAGAAATTCTTCCCAAACAGTGTTTGACAAGGAAAATAAAAAAGGACAAAGTGTATGTAGACCTTGCTGTCTCCAAGATCTCATCACAATCAGGACTAGAGACTACAGCCCAAATTTGTACGTTGCTGTCAATTTTTTAGGCATCAAAGCAAATCCATGTAGTTCGATTCTTCACAACACATTTTTCTATACTTATGAAAAACTCTTCCTATTGTGTCGATAAAGAGAACAAAAGAAAACACAGAGATGCTTTCTTGCACATCTAGGCGCCTTAATCAACAGTCTCATTAACAACCTCAAGTAAAAAAGGAAAAAGAGAAGAGCGTTGCCTTGTGCTTATAGGGAAATGAAATTTAATCATCTCAGGAAAGCAAAGTTTCAATGTGGAGAAAACAATCTGCTATGAGCAGAGTTGTATTAGTGTTGAATGAAGAGCATTTCTTTTTGATCTTGCATCACTGTGTCTCAGCCATCGGGCAAACGATAAGTTCGAGACTTTACAGAATTATTTAGAAATCCAAGACAGTATTTTAATTTTGCTCAGTAACTCTGCCTGTTTTGAAATGCCAGGCTCCCAAAGTGCAACATCATTTAATCAACAAGTCAGAGCTTTTCAAAATTGCATTAGCTGACTTCTCTGTGAACTCTACACTGTATTTTGGGCCTCCAGAAACAACCCAGGATTTTCAGGTATTTCAAGTATACGTCTGTTTTACGGATGGTTGTTACATTCTTGTCATTTAAAGCCAAGCAAGCAGGTACCTTTGTTAGTCAGAAGCATGTCTCTTACCTAGCATTCTCATTACAAGAGTGTGCAGACCAACTGCAAGAGATTTCAACTCCGGCTGAACGCATCTGAAAGAGAGATGAATGAGTAAGAAGGATTTGCCTATCGAGCGTTTAGACATATCTATTGCTGTTAATTTCACCCAACTAAACACTCAGAAAATGACATAAAACTAAGCTTTGGAAGGAGAGTGCTTCCTATGTCTGCTGAAAAGGTACAAAGTGGCATGAAAATGGGGAATTAATCTATTGTTTTCTATCACATATCTCCTGGAAAGTCCATTCACTAAGTATAGTTAAGTAAGAATTTTTAAAGGAATAGTCATGGTCTAAACAAGTGTTAATGAAATAGATTTCTAAACTGCCTTGGTTCCCTGGCATACATGTTCTTTACCTGATGGGAGATATCATATTGTCCTAGGACAAAAATTTTGCAAGCAGCAGCATTAAGGCAGCACCTTTTTATACACAAATGACAGCACATCCTGAACGACGCAATGCCCATCTGTCTCATGGAGAACCACATTTCAAACATCCAGACTGTTCACTGATCTTATTATATATCCAGTCTCTAGTATCTTCTTACAAATATTAATATGGTCAGCCCTCAGAAAAATGTTTCACAGAGGTGAATTCACTTTCTGTTTTCCATGTTCATTAAGGATGACATAATGGCCTTAGGACTTCCACTATATTTGCCACTGATTGAAAATTCTTTTTAGGTTACTGAAAAGTATATTCTAATTTGTACACTTTGTTCTGAAGCACACCCTGGTGTGCCTGCACCTGGTATACTTCAACAGACATGAGCACCTGAGCCTCAAACTGAACCATCAGAGGTTCTGAATACCCTAACATCTGAAGAGCCCAGTATGTCATATGACTCCACATCCAGAAATCTTGACAAATGCATGCTATTTTAAATCCACATGGACAAAATATCCAAGCAGGGAAATAGGATGTGCTCTGGAAAGCTAGTAATGAGAAAAAACATTATGTAGTATTTGGAAGCAACACACTAGAACCAACTTATTGGCAGTGGCCAAGCAAGGTTTGATATTAACAGCTGCAGATATAAGCAGAATGACAAAACACATTAGATAAATCATGTTATACTGCAAGAGAGTTGCCTTCTCTCAAAGAAAAGAGAAAAAAAAATAGATATGACTTTGATCACCTCACTGTAAAGCCTGAGCCACCATTACACAGTTTAACTTACCTGTACATAATCAAATATGCTGGAGTGCCTCCCAGTGCATAGCAAAAGCCACTTATGACTTGTATTACTGTATAATAAATAAACATCTTTGAACAACTATCACTTTTTGGACATTGCCCCAAGGTGACAGAGCTATTTCCTGACCATGAACTGCTGGTTTCAAGACAGCTGCAGTTATGGAAGACCTGGAAGACACAGAACAGATTAGGTAGGACATTTTTCAGGCATTGAAGAATCCTGCCTTCAGACAGAGTCTGAAGCCTATTTTCTTGTTTGCCTCTCCTTGAGGCAGTGGGCAGCAGCTTCTTTACTACAAACTGCACTCAGATTAGGAAGGGATATTCTAGTATGCTCCCAGCACTGCACACAACATCAAGTTTTGGAAGATGTATGGAATATCTGCAGAGCTTCTGAACCTGTCGTTATGTCTCTGGAGGGCTGCTAGAGGGGAAAAGCAAGGTTCAGGGGGTGTGCCTTTTGTTGCTAGTTGTCTTCGCCTGTTAATGGCTTTTTCTGTGGAAGGCACCTGGATCCCAGGTCCCCCTCTTCTAAAGCTGATCCACAAGCTGATCCACCAGAGTTACCTAAAAGCAGCAGCTTGTCAAGATGCAGCTTATGCAGACTGCCTTAGAGCAGCAGAAGGTGTACAGATAGCATAAAAGCAATATCTTTTATAGGACTTGAAGACAAGAGGATCTACTAATATAAGGGGAACTGCAGGCCATGAACCTCAACCTCTACAGAGAAAGACTTTTATGCTGGACCACAGTCTCAGTCTCATAGACCCTCAGACATGCCTACTAAACTGCTATCACTTTAAGGATGTGCATCATGGAGGATGCTATGATATGTTAGCACCCTTCAACTATTGACTAAAAACTTCAGAGCAACCAAATCGTGGTTTATAAAAGGCAGACCACAAATAAACTTCAGAAAGCAGGTAAACATTTTGAACTGTTATTTTCCCCCTCTTACATTCAATCCACAAAATTCTGTAGCAAGATGGCATAAATACCTTAGTGGCAGTTCCCCAGTAACTTTGTTTTCCATTAAACACATTATATTACTGAACCCCCCGATGCAAATGGAAAGCAAGCTATTAAAAAGCTACAGAAACTTGAGCATGCTCTTACCATGTTCTTCCCATGTCCCTCTGAAATCGTGCATCCAGCTGTACATGCTGAAACATATGTCAGCCCATTGCTTCCACACACAGGATCCCACACATTGGTGGCACATTTGCAGCCAGAATTGCAGTCAGAAAATATGGCATTTTCATGATATGGAATGGGTTTGCTTAGGAGTTGAGACAAGAGTAAGAACTTTTAATTCAGCACTGAGATCAGTGTGGTCCCTTCTGTGTGACAGTGTCTTTGTTCTCGTAAGACCAGGGCTTACATTTCAATATTTGAACATCTAAAATATTGATCTTTCTGCTTCACATTTCATTTCACTCATGCTGATATTAAAATGATCACTAGATTATTAATAATGCTAGGACAAAATTTGCTACTACTGATTTTAACTCCCAGGCATATAAAGAAAAGAAAAAACTGAAACTGTTTGAGAGGTCGGCTGTACCTAGAGACTTATCAGGTACTTCTTCAGCTGTTGGCAAAAATGCACCCATAGAAACTAGACTTCTGGGAGCATATGCCAATCCAAATGCAAGTGTTTTTCTGGGTGCCTTGGAAAGCCACCTCCTAATGCACAGCTCCTGTTCTGGTATCTTTGTTTGCTCAGGGAACTAACAATAGCTTTTAACTTTTGAATATTTGTTCTGTCTTGACAGGAGAGAACGTCTCCGATAGGGACTGAAGCTTCATTTTGTTTAAGAGCAGGCTGAGAGTCTGATGTGCTGCAGCCTTTCTAAATCCATGCAGGATGTGCTACCAACGTACAATGTACACATTCTTCATCTTTTTACTGGGTCTGAATAAACTTTGCAAGAAAATTATTTCTGATGTAGAGATGGCACAGCGTGAAACACAAGTATCACTCCCACAGCAGCCAAAATTCCTGCATTAGTAATGATGTGATTTTGATAATGTGATTCTGATTGAACTTTTATCAGTGCTGCTGGTGATCAGCAGAACTATGACAATGACGCTTGGTATTTTTTGCTCCCTCTAAGCATTGCAAAAGCATGCTTGTCTTTTAGATCTCATGTTCTTGTACAGTATTTGAACTGTTGCTGCCGTAAAGAAAAACCTTCTCTTCATTTTATACTCACCCATCATATGATGCTGTAATTCCTGCTACCACCTGGTTCTCACAGCCAACAAAAAAGTGCAAGAGAGTGAAGGAATAGGCAATAAAAGACACGATAAATGCAAACTTGGTTGCTCCAATGATGCTCATTTTATACTTTTTCATTATTAATCCTCCCAGGAAAATTCCAATTCCAACAGGTGGTAAAGTTGTCAATCCTGAAAGAGATTATTGAAGAGGAATAAAATAAAAAAGAGGTTAAAATAAGTTAGTCACACTGGGTTTAAGAGTCAAACTCCATTCTTTAGTTGATGTCCCTGGCAGTGGTATGTTGTATGACTGCAGATGGCTTTCCACCCAACCTAATTTTTGGGTTGCATATACTATTTTGAAGTCTGTTCTCAAAACAGACTGTATGTCTGGCTAGCAAGCTGACAGTGATTTGTCCTCTCTTCAAGCAAGGTATCCCTCTATCAGATGTTAGAGAATTTAAAACTCCCCTGACCCCATTAATTGCATATTTTGAGTACCCTTGCTAGAATATAATGCTATTAATACTATATGATATAAATATCATAATGTAGTATTGTAATCATAATTAAACATACATAATAGAATATAATTATTTATTCTGTCCCCATAGACTCTAAAACTAGCTTATATGCTGCTTTCATATAATTAAGTTCAGGAAAGATCAGTCCCAGAAAAAGATGCCAGAACTTCTCCCAGTTCAACCATTATAAAATAAACTGTCATTGCAGCATAACTCACCTATTAGAAAGTTAGATTTAGATGCAGACTGTCCATACTGCTGTTCCATGTACTTTGGCTTGTAAGTCAAGAAGCCGATAAAGCTAGTGAATTGTAACAGTGAGCAACACAAAAATGTAACGTACATTCGATTAGTCAATAAGTTTTTCAGAGAGGTATAGAAATCTGAAAGAAAGAGATAAATGAGTTGGCTTTAAAGCTATGTAAAATTATTACAGATGAGTAATCCATGAAATTTAGGGCAAAATCCTTCTTTTAACTGTCCAAGGGCAAATTATACTGATCTTCATTTGCTAGTGAGTACCTGAAAGCAAAACCAGGCTATTGGAAAACTCTAGATGTTAAGGTAGGAGGAGAGAACTTTAACAGAAGAGTGAATTGCAGGTTAAGGCCTGAGTTCTGTGCATGTGAAGACGAAAGGGCTCCATGCAGCAAAGGCTACTTTCAGCTTACAAGTTGCAAGGCTAAGTGACTGGTGCTTTTGTAGGGAAGCACATCTTCCATTGGGATCTGAACTTAGGAGGAATTTTTGATGATAGAAAGCATCTCATCCCTTCACCTTTCCTCCCCTTTCCTAATATAAGGTCTGCACAATCAGAATTCAAGCCTGCTGTGTTTTCCTCAGGCAGCAATGATCTTCAGAATCTTCACAAGCTCTGTGATGACCAGAAAAATGATTTGGTTTTCCAGAATGTAAAAGGAAACTTCTAATATTTTCTTTAGGTCTTGATTCAGAAATGATGTTTCCTGTACTACAATTCCTATTGCAGAATTTCTGAAGTAGGTGCCATACAGGTAATCATAAATGCCCCACAGTCTTGAAGAAGCTCTTTGACTTCTCATAATACTTATTGGATAACTCCTTTCCTGGGGATAGCTAACTCATTTACTCATTTAATTGTACGTAAGTGTACGTTTACTCATGTAAGTGTAGGGGAGGTAAAATATTCTGCAGAAGTATCACATTTTTACTGTAATTTGCTTTCCATAATTACCTGACACACAAAACACTTGCCTTTCAGCATTGTTGACCACTTCATTGGCTTAGATTTTGCAGGAGGAATTGTCTTCCTCGTGGCTTCCATATTTTCCAGGAGACCAGGTGAAATTTTATCCTTATTGGCTTTCACAGGCTTTTCCAGACTCTTTGGCAGGAAGCAAAATGGAATAGCGGCTAGGAAACTGATCACTCCACCTATTAAAAAACCAAGCCACCATGCACCCACCCAGCGAGAGTCTTGTGGAGTGATAGCAATTTTTCCTATAATCAAATGAAACAGAACCGAGTTAATTGAGAAGATGAAACTTACCACACTTAATTTGCTAAAATACCTATATTTGTACAGTGGTTGAATTTCAGCAGTAACGATGAACACCAAATAAGAGAACTTTTATGCAATGAAGGCATCAAAACTCATATCCTCTGCTGTGGGAGGGATCATCTGGTTGGAAATACGTGATTTTAAGGTCCCTTCCAATCCAAGTCAGTCTATGATTTTATGATCAACAAAAACTGTAAAATTAACGTGCTAGCAGAATCTTCTCATTAAGATTGCAACTTAACTTAGAAAAAATTCTTTAGTCTCTCAGCATTCTTGTTACTAAATTCTAAGATTAACAATGTATTTTAATCCTTGAAACCTAGAAGGTTCTAAAATGTTCCTTGTCTAATTCAGCCTTCACCCCCAAAAGCTTCCAATAATTTAATAAAATTATAACAAAGTACAAAATACAATTAATAAAAATGATATAATTAAGGTAAATTAAATTGAATTAAGTTTATACAATTAGTATTTAACTTTCACTTTGCCTATTTTGCTTACCTAAATCCACAAATCCAACATCCACGTAGAGTCTGGCACATAAGGAGCCCAGCAGGAAACCAAACATTGGGCCAAACATGCCTATTGTGTGCAAACATGCTGAAAATATAATGAAGCAGATGATAGTACATTTTAATGGGTGAATGTTTTCTCCTGCAGAGGATAATCAACCTCTTATATCAAGAATCTCCCTGTTTATTTTATGTTGACGTTACCTACATATACAGGAACATTCTCTTCTTTAGCAAAATCGTCAAGATAAGAGATGCCCAGTGGTGTTATTGGAGTCTCACCAATTCCACGTAACATGTTTCCCAGTAAGATATATATCCACATATATGATGATGGTTCTTTCTCACAGGCTGTAGATAATGAGATGTTAGATTTTCATTATAGAATAGTTTAAGGGGAAATATAGTGACAAATCACAGGAAGTTCAGCACATGGTTAGTATTTAAGGTTTGAACAGTATTTGATTCCTAAAGGTACAGGTAAGTATCACCCATCAGAAAAAAAAGTCCATGTGGAAAAAAAAAAAAAAAAAAAAAGGCAGACTGATATTATCATTAGTATGTTATCTGGAAGATAAAATAAAAAAGTTTGAGATGGTTGGTATGTACAGTTTAACTCTCTCTTTACCCATTTCCCATGCAAAGCAACTCATATAACATCTGTATTCCATGTTGTAAGTAAGATCAGAGAAATCTCAACTTACTTCCAGTTGACTGTACAACTTCTCTTTCTCTCTTGCCATCTCTTCCTCCAAACCTCAGTAACTGAAACCCTTCAGAAATCTCTTTGCAAACAGACTCAGCATCTCTTTCAGAGTTAGGGTCATTTTATAGAAAATTGGAATGTGAACATAGGAAAACTCTGATCTGGGTCCTAGTATTTTCTGGATGTTTCTTCTCCAGACAAAATGCACAAAATGCACTGAAGTATTTGTAATGTTCTCAGGAAGGTAGAGATTGAAGTTAGAAACCTAACTGCGCATCTTGCACTGGACAATTATTTACTCCACATTTAACCAAAGCAAAAACTAACTCCTATATTTATATTTACACGTACAGTTCCTTACCAGACTGGGATGTGTCCAAAAAGGTTTTATTGAAATCTTGATGTGGAGAGCAGGGGTTTATGCTTGAGGTTGAGTTGGCTGAAGATCTTGTGTCTGATGCTGTTTCATACTTATAACTGAAAACATTTAACAGTAGCTTTAGAAGCAAGGCTCAGTATAGAAATGCTAGTATAGTAGGCAAGGAATCGCTTGAATGCTATTTCCTTAAAGGTATTTTTGTTTATGTATCAATCCAAAATGCTACTGAAGGAGTAAGAAGAAAGTTTACTTAAGTATATTTTAAAAATATGTAATAAATACAATTACATTATATTTTTGTAATAAATTGTTGTAATAAAAATATGTAATATCAGAAGGGAACAGCAAATAAAAGTTAGAAATACTCATCTGGAAGATTTAACATTTTAAGCTGGAAATTACTTCTGAAAGTAATTCAGGCAGGACTGAATATGTGCTGTCAACATTTAGGGTCTGGTCCAAGTTAGATCCCTATGCTGACCATATTATCAGGGAGAAAAAGAACAATCTCTGGAGTCCAAATCTCCCTTTCTATCTTGGATAAAAATTTCTGTGAGGATAGGGAAGAAGCAAGGAAGGCAGATATCAGCCTTGCTGAGGAGCATGTACAATGAGCTTCTGCAGAACAACATAGTAAAGCACATAGTCTGCTTCTAGGAACTAGGCTGGCTCTATTTGATTAGGAAGGCTTATTTTTCATGTTGAAACAAAGAGTATTCATCATAGGAAAAAGTGCAGAATAGTTTCCTCACAAAAGTTCAGGCTGTGATCCATGAGACAATTTATGAGTTTCCCAGTGCAGATAAGCTAATTGCTCAGCTTCACTTAAGCAGTGGAAAATACAAATCTGATGCTAGTGCAAGATCTACCATCATAAAAATATATATTATTTAAGTTCCTCTGAACCTAGAGAAGATGAAGAGACATTATTTTTAGCAGACATGAACATGGACATGCAAGGATGCAACAAGAAAGGCCCACTAGAAATTAAATCTGGTGAGGGAGGTCAAGGAATACAGGAAGGACTTCTTTAATTGTATCACAAGCAAAAGGAAGACTAGGGAAAATGTGGGCCCACTGCTAAATGAGATGGGTGCACTGATAATGGGAGACACTGAGAAGATGGAGTTACTGAATGCCTTGCCTTTTTGGCATCAGTCTTTACTGGTAAGGCTGCCCCTCAGAAATCCCAGACTTTGGAATTAGGAGAGTCTGGTGAAAGGAAGACGTCCCCTTGCTCAAGGAGGATCTGGTCAGAGATCCTCTAGTAAACTTAATGCACACAAATCCATGGGACCCAATGGTGTACCTATGAGTACTGAGGGAGCTGACAGATGTGACTGCCAAACTGCTCTCTATCATCTATGAAATGTCATGGAGAATGGGAGAGGTGCTTGAGCACTGGAGGAAATCTAGTGTCACTCCAGTCTTTAGAAAGGTCAAGAAGGAGGAGCAAGGAAACCACTGGCCAGTCAATCTCTGTCCCTGAGGAAGTGACATAAAAGCTTATTCTGAAATTCATCTTTGAGCACATGGAAGAAAAGGAAATTATCAAAAGGAGACAGCATGCATGATTGATCAGATAGCCATGAGTGGTTGGGCAGTATATGTTGTCTACAATGACTTCAGAAAAGCTTTTGTCACCCTCAGCTTCCTAGTAATGAAGCTTAAGAAGAGTAGACAGTGAGGTAGCCTGAGGACTGGCCAACAGTCAGGGCTCAGAGAGTTGTGATCAGTGGTGCAGCATCTAGTTGGAGGCCTGTAATTAGTGATGTTACATAGGAGTTGGTACTGGGTGTGGCCCTGTTCATTATCTTCATCAGTGACCTAGATGAAGATACAGAGCCCACCGTTTGCTGATGATATGGAGTGGGGAAAAATGGCTGACACACCTGAAGGCCATTCAGGAAGATCTGGACAGGCTGGAGAGCTGAGTGAAGAGGAACCTGGTTAGGTTCAACGAGGACAAGTGGAGGGTCCTACACCTTGGAAGGAATAACATATGCATCAGTACAGGTTAGGGGCTGACCTGCTGGAGAAGAGTTCTGAAAAGAAAGTGTGTCCTGCACGACAATAGGTTAATCATGAGCCAGCACTGCACCTTTGTGGTCAAGAAGACCAGTGGTATCCTGGGATGCATTAAAAAGAGTGTCAAGGCAGGTAATTTTCCACCTATACTCTGCCTTGGTGAGGCCAGGTGAGGAGAACTGTGTCCAGTTCTGGGAAACTCATTTCAAAAAAGATAGGGAATCTTTAGAGAGAGTCCAGTGGAGGGCTACAAAAATGATGAGGGGCCTGGAGCTTCTTCCTTTTGAGGAAAGGCTGAGAAACCTGAGACTGTTCAGACTGGAGAAGACTAAGGGGGGATCTTGTCAACACTGAATGATGAGTGTGAAGAGGATGGGACCACGCTCTTTTTGTTGGTGCTGACTGGCAGAACAAGGCACAAGCCAGAAGACAGAAGGTTCAATCTGAACAAGAGGAAAAACTTCTTAACTTTAAGGAGACAGAGCACTGAAACAGGCTGTCCAGAGAGGCTGTGGAGTCTCTTTCTCTGGAGATATTCAGAACCAGCCCAGACACCTTCCTGTGCAACCTACTCAAAAGGATCTGCTTCAGCAGGAGATTGGACTAAATGATCTCCCTTGCAAGAGGTCCCTTGCAAGACCTATGACTCTGTGATTCTGTGATTTGGGACAGAAAATGAGCCAGGACCATTTCTATGAGCACCAGGACATCTGCTGGCTCTGAAGCTGAAAGCTGCTTCTGTAGAGCGCAATCTGTTTCACAAATACACCATCTTACACAAGTCTCTAGTTCCCTCAAGTCCAATGCTATGTTACTCTAATCAGTCTTGATCTGTACTTACTATCCCATGAAGAAATGAGGCATTGCTGTTAAAACACTTCCCAAAGCCATAATAAAGCATCCAGCAGCAATTACTTTGGGCCTATGAAGTTTAGCTCCAAAGTAGCTTACAAATGCAATCACCAGCAAATTACCTGGAAAATAATGAACAAAATTAATACTAGATGCCTTGTCTCATATTTCTCTGAACAGTTTTCTGCATATTATGGAGTAATATTACCCATCTCGAAGCTTCCGTCGATGAAACCAACAGTAGAGGATGGAAGGTCAAATCTTCGTTCAATTTGTGTGATGGAACTTTTCATAATTGTACCAGACAAAGCTTTACTGAAGTAGCTGAATGATAAAGCAGCAAGAAACACCTGAGGGAAGATTGAGATAGAAAATTGGAGGTAGAGGCAAGGGAAGATGTCACATAGAAATCAAAATATTTTTGAAACTATGTGGAGCAATCATCATGGTGTATGCTTGTTACTCAAATTACACTGACAACACTGCGTTTGAATTTTCTGTACTCTGGTTATGAGAGTGGTGCCACTGATGTTTACTCACCACTCAGCTTTTCCCTGCTGGAAAGGGCTGATGCTAGGTGTTGCACTGAAAGCTCCCACTTGCTTTACACTGAATGTAAATTCAGGATTGCAACAGCCATCTTAGTGACCAGAAAGCCTGATCTGACCTGTGTTGTAAGCCAGAGATGGCCCAAAGCAGAAATCCTGAGGGCTGTAGAGTTTAAATTTGGCAGTCAAAAAACTGGGGACTGCTTGCCTTGCTGACATCCTGTGGTTACAGCTGAGGCCCATGTTGGACAGTAAAAATAGTGAGATTTCTGGATGCTGCGGAAATGTAGATTTTGTCGCATATGCACATCATCAAGACTGATTTAATGAAACTAGTCTCACCTACTATTTTTTTTTTCATAATTATCATATTTATCATAATTAATCTCAGCTCCAATTGTTTTCTGTTTGGGTCTCATGACACTTAGTTTATGCCAGTTCATAACTGTTTCTAACTCAAACATATAGGTAGCCATGAAACCAAAATAAAGTCTTTGCACAAGATTCTGTGACGTCTCTGGAAATAGCACAGGCTGATTTGTTCATCACTGTCTAAAATGAATTGAGATGTGTGCATTTTGTCTGTGTCACTTGTAATCAAATGTCTGACAACAAAAAGCTTGACATTCTTTTTAATTTTTATAGTTGCTTCCACTAACACACAATTTGACTTTTGCAAATTAAAATGTATTTGATAAGAAGTTAAACTAAGTTTGTTTAAAGATTGTCCAACTATTTCAACATAATCTAAAAACAAATAGACTTACTGCTCAGTGGGTAAAAGTTCCAATACAACACAAGTAAAGTAAACAAAAGTAAATATAGGCTTAGACTTTGCAGTTCTATCCAATGTAAGAAATGCAGTCAATGGCATGTTTGAAAATAGGTGTATTTATTGTCTTTTGGTCTAGGAATGAAGATAAAATCTCACAAGCACAGACTTTGTCCTGGTATTTTAGATCTCCTGAGCTCAACTGGCAAAAGAAAAAGGTCTGCAAGAATCACCTTTTTTGCCTTGCACTGAAAGCAGTGCTCTCCTGGATGTTTTGGCTAAAATCACGAACTGCTGATTAGCATGAACACACAAACAATGACCTAGATATTAAAAGTTTGAAAGTGCAGTCCCCATGTAAGCATAAAATATTTGACAAGAAGAAGAGGTTGAAGAACAGTTTGTCTTGTACCACCAAAAGATTGTGTTCACTGAAGGCTAATTGCCATAAAGTCATTCACAGGAACATACAGACGTAGATCCACAGGCTTGCAGCATTGCCTGTGCATATAATAGTGAAGTCTGTCCTGTGAGTCTTCCAGAGAGCTCAGATTCTATATCTGTGGTGTATATGAGTGGTATCTCTGAGTCAGATAAAATAAAAAATATAAGAAACTTCACCTGATAATCCATCCAAATCACTCCAGATGTATAAAAAGCTTGCAACTGCCTATTTTCTTTCATTAATCTTTCATTTTACAGAACTTTTTATAGAGATGAATGTGTTATAGCTCCACAGAGTCTGCAGAATTTAATCTGAGATAAAGCTGGCTGAAGAACTAGTCAAAGTATAAATCTAAACACATTGGTATCACAAGAAAACTTGCCCAGGTAATATTCACACCTCAGCCAGAAGCAATAAATACTAAAGGCTTTAACATGAAAGCAAAATTCTCTTTGGTTCACTAGCTCTGTTCAATCTATTCTTCCTGTGCACTCCATTTCGGCCCTAAAAATGAGTGTTGACAGCAAGCTCCAGACATCAGTGTATAATAACCACCAATTTTAGGATGCCTCATGTCCTCCATTTGAGACTGCTACCTCTGTTCAGTAACAAAAATGAGGACCTAACTGTGAATAACTTGAGAGTAAATATGTTAGGTCTGCACTTATTTTTGTTAGGATAGAGATAAGAACCAGCCCTCCCCTGTGCTCCTGGTGTGTATTCAGATCCAGAAGTGATACTGGGAAAAAGGAGGTACTCCATAATGTCAGACCTTGAACAGCATTCCTTAACATACAACAGTGGTAATTCGTAGTGATATTAGTAAGCACCAAACCTTCAAGCCTGTGCAACAGGAGGCCTTCTTTTTGACTGCTAGATTTTCACTTGTTTCATTGTCCAAAAGCTGGGAAGGTTCTGCTTCCTGGCTTGAGTCAGTGACATTGCTGGATTCAGTTTCTGCTGTCATGGTTGACTTCTCTGCTGAGTGATCTGAACCCAAGAGAAAATGATAACAGATATAAAAATACACATGCCAAAATAGAGTTGTCTGAGAATATCTCCAATGAAACAGTAGTCATGGGAAAGCACTGAGATGATGAAACTGAATTTTCCATTGGAAATATTTTGGTTTAATGGCTTAGGTATTTGAATTCTGAATTATTTTGTTTGGATATCTTATATTTTTTTTTTAGATGAAATATTTCTTCACACAGCCCTCACCAACATGGGGGTTTTCTATGTCTAAAGTGACTTTTAACACTAAAATGACTATTTCTGCGAAGGAGTAAGAGAAGAAGTAAACTAGAGGGGTCAGTATGACATCAGTACCAAAACACAGGGAGTACCAGGGAAGCTCTGCACTGTGGGCCACGTTGCTTAAGACTTAATCAGTATTTTGGGAAGTCTTGTGTAATAACACTCTGACATTCAACCAGCCCCTTTGCACCAATTTGCTGGCAACAATTTCTGGCAACAAAGAATTGGTTACTTTATCCATCTGACCTCGTTTAGGGAGTTTGTATGTTTTTACTTCTTGCAACATTATACAGGGTGTCCTTAGTCCCCTTCTTTCTGCAGGGTTCTAGCTATATTCACTGATGCTTCAAATCCTTTGCAAATCAGGAATTCAGGAGAACTGCACCAGTTCCACTGGGAAGAGCACACCTTATACTCAAAGAGGACAAATTATTTTCTCCTGTGAATTATTATGTTTTGTTTAATGTTGAAAGATCTGTTGCACAATTAAGTTGAATTTTGTTTTATTGCAATGAATACTACATACTTCACCATTCTCTCTCCTCTTTTTTATTTTATTTTATTTTATTTTTTTTTAATATTTGAGAGATGTAAGCAAATAGAGAATGCTTCAGTGAAATGCTATAAGGGAGCTCTACATATCTATTTGCAAAATTATTTAAAGAAGGAAAGCACTTGCCCGTTTGTGCATCTCCAACCACAAACAGAAAAGATTTCTGAAGAAAGATCCAGATGACACTGAAGAGCCTCGTGGGAAAAAAAGGAAATGCTTGAAAGAGAGCCTTCTTCAGATCTGCAGATTTTGACACTCAGAGGAGATAAGAGTATTGGCAATAATGACCCCAAATCATAGCTAACTGGATCTGGTTTATTTCACCTTTCACAGTACTCTCCTCATTTCAGAAAAGAGTGAGAATGATAGAGAGGGAAGGAAACTCATACAAAGAGAGGTTTTCTATGGTTGAATGGAGCTGAAAAAGAGTTGGATGAACTTTTTCGGTGCTGGAAAATGTCCATCTGCATTTGCAAATTGCTCTGCTACAGTCTGCACAGCAGAGCAAAACTTTCCAGAGCATTTAAAGGGTAAGTGTTTTTCTAATGTTTGATGATGAAGAATATTTCCTTCCATTTAAATGGAGCAGGGTTAAGATGTAAGGAAATTTAAAACAAGTACACACAAAGAGTTTTCTTCGCTTAAGTTTATGAGCATATCCTTAGGTACTAACGCTGACATAAACAACACCTTTCCTTTCCCACTGCATCCCACACTCTTGACTCGTGCAAATACCTCTGCTTCTGTGGCTGTGCTGTAAGTCTGGGTCAGAACACAGGTCCACTAATAAACCTCAAAACTTACCCTGCTCCTTGGCTCCTCAGAAAGACAGGACCAAGAAGCAGAGGAAAGGGTCTCCTCATGCCTGCACAGCTACCAGCAGAAATGACTGTGAAATAAAATTCTTAGAGCTTGAGGTGTAGGCAAATACTTATGAGCACCTTGTCCTCTGAAATGCAGCTGTTTCTGTGTAATGTGAAGATATTAGCTTCTCTCTCTCATAAAGGCAGGCAAAGGACTACAGTAAGATGCTGGAAAAAATCATTGATGGTAACAGGCTATGGAAGTAGGATTTTTTAGAGAGATTGAAGGTTCAACAGAATTTAGAATCTGTATATGAAGAGAGAAGGACTGAAGATGGAGAAACATGAGGGTAGAAATATGAGATAAAATAGAGAAAAGACAAAGGCAACTAGATATCTAGAAATATAACTGAGTATATCCAGACATTATCAGCCCATTCTGGTACATGTTTCAGTGAGAGGTTATGAAGGAATGGGAATGGAGGACAGACTGAAGTAAAAGCAGTAAATCTCAAAGGGAGGGTTAAAAATGTAGAGGTAAATAGTTTAAAAAAAGGCAACCACATGTAAATGTTAGAGTATTAGGCAATATCAAGTATGATAAAGAAAAGAAAAATAAAGTAAAATTCAGCTTCTGGTTGCAAAAGCTGCCTGATGCACACAGAAAAGTACAAAGACAGCTCGGTGATGGTTGCTAGTTCCTCTAGAGATCTAGGGAAGGTCTCTCAGGCAAGAACAAGGATGACCAGCTCCCATCAGTGGAGAATGGCTCATCACTACTTTGCAAAGATAGTGCTGGAAAAGGTGCTGCTTTTGCTGGAGAAGAGCGGGAGCATGGGAAGGAAGTAAAAAGATGGCACAGTTTGTGCTGGAGAAATGTCAGAGTGAGCTGTGTGCAAAAATCAGCAGTTGGAGATGCTGGCAACATCTCCTGCTGTCCTCAGTTGACCTTGACCTACATGGAAAGAGTAGGGCTGGGAAAATGCCATGCCACAAGAAGATAAGAAAAAAAACATACGTAAAAGATTAATTTGTTATTGATATCAACATAAATTAGCTGTTGAGCCTAACAGTTTCAAGTATTGATGAAGTTCGTGTTCTTGATTTACCTAGTGCTTTTTTTTCCCCCCCATCTTTAATTAATAAAGGAGCTGGTTACAAGCAGAGGATAAGTATGAAGCCTTCAGCATCAAATATATTCATTCAGTTATACGACTTCTCTAAAACTATTAAACTTCACTTGCACAAGCCATTCTGCTGTAGTACTAGCTTGAGACTTTGCATTTGCAGAAGGGAAAGATCAGTCAAACAATATTAAAAATAATACAATCAAGATTTCATCAAATAGCTTATGGAAGTGTATTGATTTACACTAGCTGCAGTGCTAATCCAATCACCTTGATGATTCATAAAACATTACGGTTTCATAATAATACCTTCCAAGTCAAGGTAGTACGACAAATGAACATCATAGTGGCATGCAGACCTAAAGCTGCTTGCATTGTTCATGATATATGAGGTTTATTTTTCAGAAAGACACATAGAAACTCTAACATCATCACTAAAAATGTTAATATTTACAACATGAATGTTAGCAGTGTAGCTGTTCAAAGGAAACAGACAGAACCACACAGGTAATGTTCATTAGCTACAAACACTAAAGGACATTTTGAGGTTAAAACAAACAAAAAGAATATTAAAGCGGTTCCTACCTAGGTGCTGTATCCACAAAAAGAGAAGTTATATTACCACACAAATGCTCAAAAGCAAGAATATTCTCTCCTTAAGCAGGGCTGTGTTGGTACTTGGTAGAGGAATCATTAACTTCTAACACAAACTATGGTCTAAGCATATCTTGTCTCCTCCCAGTTCTGCCCTCTGCTAAAGGTCCCAAAATACATGTTTATCTACAGTGGTCAAAAATTAATTGGGAAGAAAATGTGCAAGTGTGTTCTATTTGTGCACCCTTTTGTGAAATACCTGGTTTCCCAAGCTTATTCAGTTCATAAATTCAAGTCATTCATGCCTCACTGATGTTTAAAAATGGGGCATCCTGACTTCAGAGGTGTTCCTGATTACTAATAGCTAAAATGTATTTGAATAAGATGTTTTATTTCCCTAGTCTGTGGCTGATGTCCATTCATTTAAGACTGATAGAGCTGGCCAAGGATGTACAGAAGGAGAAAATATCATGAATTAGGTGTATTGAACAAACTGGGTGTTCAAGAAACAGTAGTGCTTTGAAGAATGTTCAGATTTACATCTTCAGTGCTACTGACAACACAGGCAAAGCCAACCTGAAAGTGTACTGGAGCTATGTGTACTTTGGATCAGCCCTTTGCCTGCTTACAGCTCTAGTTCAAGGAATCCCGTACCGGGTTCCTGAAAGTATTTTATTTGATCATGCTGTTATTTGTGGATTGCAATTTATCCCTAAGAGTAATTATAGTTAAAAGAGAAGTCCACTTCACAGCATGTGAACAATGACTACTATCTGCCTAGACGTTACACCAAAACATGCCATTCCTTGCAGCTTTTGTACTCTGCACTGCCATGACAATAATCTCGCCCGTTCTTTTACTCGCCACGGACAACTGTAGACTACTTAATAATGCTGACCTTTGGATAGCCTTCAGTACTGTTATCAGAGTTATACTGCACTGCCCTTTGCTTTTATTTCTGACACTTGGTTACAGTTTCCTTTCCATTTCTAGAATAAGAGACAACAATATTAAGGAAATGGTAGTCTAAGCTGGAATGTCATACATTATATATTTAGAAAACTCAAAAGGCAGACTTACACTTAACTAAGAACACTAAAATTAATGAGCCTTAATTGTCGTCTTTATCAAAGTTTGGGATGCTTTCAAAAAAAAATTTCATCTTAGAAAAATGTCTTAAAGTACGATTTAGATTGGAACAAATCTCTGGAGCTCACCTGCTTCAATTCTCTGGGCTAAAAGTAGGAATAACTTCAAAGCTTTGTAAGATTGGTCAGGTCTTGTCAAGTCAAGATTTGGATGGATGTTCCATAGCATGCCTTGGCACCTGGTTCAATGTTTGACCTCTCTCATCTGTATATATGTATGTATATGTATACATAATCAAAATCTCCTTTGTTGCAACTTGTGTCTATTGCCTCTCACCTTATTGTGCAAGAGAGACCTTGGAATTGTTTTCTGCATGAGCTCCTATTGGGTAGCTAAAGAAAGTAATCAAATGCATCATCCAAACCCTTGGCTCAGTTTGCCAATGTCTTTCTTGTTTTGGATAGACTCAAATAAAATACAATATTCCAAATGCAGTTCAACAAATGATGAACAGGCAGAAATAATCACTTTTTCAGTATTTTGTATCTTTTGTAGCCACAACCTAATACACAGTTAGTCCTGTAGGCTCAAAGGTGCACTGCTGTCTCATTTTTAACTCACTATCCACTAGGACACAAAGGTTCTTTTCTGCAAAGCTTCTTTTTGTCTAGTTGACTTGTATATTCCCAGCATACTCCCTTGTGTATCTTTTTCCTATCCAATCGCTGTTCTGTTGCCACTCCACTGTTTGCCTATCAGTGGCTTCAAGGATAACTTGGTCCATAATCTTCCATAAATCTCCCTTGGTATTTTATGGATTTCTTTTAATTGTAGTCAAATGCCACATCCATATATCTCTTAAATACCACTAGGGATGGCGACTCCACCACTTCCCTTGTGCAACCTGATGTAATGCCTCCATCTTCTCCATGAAGAAATTCTTCCTGATATCCAGTCTAAACTTTCCCTGGCACAACCTGAGGCCATTTCCTATGTCCTACCACTTCTCACCTAAGTGAAAAGACTGACACCCTCCACACTGCAGCCTCCTTTCAAGTAGTTGTATAGAGAGATGAGGTCTTCCCTCAGCTACTATTCTCCAGATTGAACAACTCCAGTTCCCTCAGTCACTCATCACGTCTTTTCCCAGTCCTTCTGTCAGTTTCCTTGACTCAGAATCTTTCTATTAGTAAGTGACACAAAATGGAGGCCAGTACTTGAGGTGTAGTCTCACCACTGCCCAGTACACATACTGCCATTGTCCTGCTGGCCACACCATTTCTGATGCAGTCAAGGAAGCCTTTGGTCTTCTTGGTTATGCTGCTGGATCATGCTCTGTGCTGTCATCCAGCATTCCCAGATCCTTGTCTGACAGGCAACTTTCTAGCCTCTCTTGTCCAACTCTACACTGCTGCATGGAGTTGTTATGACCAGAGTGCAGCACCCAACATTTAGCCTCATTGAATGCCGTGTGATTGAACCCAGCCCTTTGATCCAGTCTTCCAACCTTCAAGCAGATCAGCATTCTCGCCTGACTTGGTGTCATCTGCAAACTTACTGAAAGTGCACTTGATCCACCAATCAGCATGGAGAACACCACTTTTGACCAGCCACTAATCATATTTAACTCCATTTATGTATAGCAGGATTGACTTTTTCTATTCACAATGCAGGCATCTTGGCCCTGGTCTATTGATTTTCATTAAAAGACCTATGGCAACTGCTGTATGGCACATAAAAACAAACAGCTGTTTCCTCATCTTTCCTTGATACTGTGTCACAAGCTCTGTTGTTATGCTCTGACCATGTCAAGACAACTACTCGCTCTTGTTTCATGGTATTTTTCAATGGAGTCTTCTGTTCCCATGGTTTTATTTTAAGACTGCCTTCAAATGTATTAACAGATCCACTCAAGTGTTTTTTTTGTTTTTTTTTTTTTTGTTTGTTTTTTTTTGTTTTTGTTTGTTTGTTTTCCTTTTCATCCTAAAAATATTAAAAAGAAAACACTGAGTTAAATGCATTGTTGATTAAAATACCAGAATCGGAAATGGTAAAGTATTGAATTTGGATCCAAGACTATGGCCTCACACCTGAAAAAAGCATCTCATCCTCTTTCTTTTTTTTTTCGTCCAAGCCCTCCCATACAACTATAACTTATGCTCACGTGTAATAATTGGATTGTGACAGCGAAAAACCCTTAATAAGAACACACCAAGATATCAGTAATCACTGATTACTCTCCAGAATAGAAGCAATCCATACAGAAGCCATGCTAAACGTCACCTTTACAGCAGGAGCTGGTTGCAGTCTCCTCCAGGCAGAGGATGGCAGCAGACTCTCAGCAGAAGTAGCTGCTAAGCCACCCATTTGCAAAGGCGTGAGCTGAGAGTAACTGGGAGCAGTCAGCCAAGCAGGGGCCAACTGCAGCAGGTAACTCTACTAGAGGGCTTTTTAATCTTGGGGCACTAATCACTTAATAAAGAAAATCACTGGATTTTAAACTTTAACTCTTACTTAACCAACTAGGAGAGAGTGTAGCTCAGCAAATACTAAGCTGCTACAGAATTCCTGAGAATGTGAAAACCTTTATAATAGCAAAAAGAGTTTCTGGAGTTCCTGTTCCACTGCATCTAGTTGCAGCTCGTTGTTGTAAAGCTACCAAAAAATAAAAACATACTATCAAACTGATTTGGTGTTATCAAAATCCATCTCCATTTCAGCTGTTGTCTGGAACTTGTTCCTTCTGCTATTCTGTGGAGCTTTTGCTTTCATAAGGACTCACAGATAATTTTGTCATTGATGCATATCATATACCTTTCTGGTGAAAAGTAGAACTTGTAGATCTATTTTAACAGTATTGATAGTTTTTCCACTTGAAAGAAATAGAATAGTCAGTCATGTTGATTGTATATCTTCTCTTTGCAGTCAGTCTTCACCAGTATCTTGTTTGGGAGTTGTTATCATAAACACAGAATTGAAAGTGTACAAGTCATTGGCAAGTGAGAGAACCTAGGCTTTTTTGGGAGCTAGTTCATGTACATGTTGCACTACAGCATGGCAGCAATGGAAACATGAATTTGTAGGTGAGGTAAGAACCCCATAACTTTCATATAGTCTAGCATATTATCTGTGATACAAGCATTAGAAAGATTTTATGGCTCAAGAAATTTAAAATCTGGCATAATATATAAAATCTCTTCACTAAGCTGTTCATCTGGCTTGCTACTCTAGAGCAGTTGTTTCAGAATAGTCAGTTATTGATCTAACAACTGCAGATAACAGAAAATCCTGAAGACAGTTGTTCTAGTGAAAAAAAAAAAAGAAAAAGTATCTAATTTCTAATCTAGTTCTCTACTATTTAATTTTCAGACACTGGAACATAGTCTACCATTATCTGCTAAATTAAATAACTCTTCTTATTAGAAATATTCACATATGTAAAGATAATTTGGACACAAAATGCATTTTCTCAACAGCCTATTAATCTCTTCTATGTCAGATTCTTCCTGACCGCACAGCACCTTCGCAGCTTTTTTCTATACCAGTCCCTATTTCTCAGCTGCTCCTTTCACAAGTTTCAAATTCATAGGATCAAGAAGAGGGGTCTTTTTACCACCTGTATATGATATCATTTCATTCAAATTCACCTTGCTCAACAGCCATGAGAAGAAGTTTACTGACCTGGTTACCATCACGCTGTGCTGATGTGCTCCGTTTACTCTAAATCCTCTTCACTCTTCAAAATTCAGTGAAGTGTCTTAATCTGTGATGTGCCATAGGTTAACACACCTCCTGGTATATTAACCACAAGCTGTTTAATGAGCAGTCTTAATCACCGTTGAAAGACCCCACCACTGAACTACTTTCATCATTTTCTTTTTAATGGCAACTGTGGATTTTATTTGTTCCAGAGATTTATTAGCACTAATGAGGAAGAATTTCTTCTGCAACGCTTGGTTAGAAATGACTCTATGTTACCAGAAGAAGGGATCAACCTGAGTCAGGCCTAACTCCTCTAGCCTAAAGGCTCATGCTTACTGGGGCTGCTC